ACTTGGTCGCCCTCGTTTCACTACACATTACCTTTGTTATTTCAAGGGTAGTTGTTTCGGAAAAGGAAAACCCCAACTTTGCGGACACCCTGTATACCTGTACGGAATCCGTTTAGAAAAAAGTTTCACTTTAGTGCAAATGATAGTTGCTCTTCTCTGATTCCAAATATACATGATTTATCATACTTGCTTTTATTATTATTATATTATATTATTTATTTATATGTCTGCGAGTTCAAACCATCATTTAGCTGCCTATCTAATCTGCCATCGGGCCGAATAATCAGGATTAAATGAGAATTTAAAATGTTGACTAACGTAAAAGTAAGCATACTGAATCATGAATGTCAACATTTAACCGGTCGCTTTTTGGGTTCATATGAAAAAGAAAACTTATTATGAATGAATATACTAAACGTTTTAACTTTCAAGAATCAGGGTGGTGAAGGTTTCCAATATGGAACGTCAGAAGCACGCCACTGACTGCGCAGACTTGTTCTCTTGTATTTGTTTAGCTAGAGGCACGGCAGCTATTTTTCGCAAGCAACCAAATTTGGTTACAGGTGATTACGAATTTAAAAAATTATTTTTATTTTAAGATAAAACTCATTGTTAGTCAAATAGGCGTGCAAAATTCCGTACGAATGCCTCTGCTGGAAGTTAAAAAATGAGGTACATTAAAAATGTATCTTGATACATAATACATGTATGCCAAATATCATTAAAATATGTATTACACTTCTTGATAATAAATTATTAGTTTTTGGAAACTTTTCCACCCTGTATCTCAAAGTTGAGACGTTTACGGCATACGTTTATATCTAGTTTTCTTCTTGAAATTGACCCAAAAGTATCTCCTTCAATATTGATATTCAATTAGAGCACACCCCGCATATTTTTTATCAAGAAAAAAACTATTTTTGTCAGTAAAATTATACAAGGTGTTTCATTTAAGAAAATACAACTTTATTTGATAGCACTTTTTGAGGACAACCTGTATACGAAAAATATATTGTCTGAAGAAAGTTTATATTGGAGCCTACAACTGTTATGAATAACTTATTGTTCTAAAAGTTAAGAGGGAATCAATTTGTCACACAACACAACTTTTTTAAAGTAAACTGTAGCACAGCACCATGATGTCGCAATCTTATAACTAAAGGTCAGTACTGTATAATCTGCAAGATATAAGGATACGTTGCATGTGCATTGAAACTTGCATACCTAGAAGGGCGGTCAATACTGCTTCAAGGTGTTGACCCAGCACGTAACTCCAGCTAACCTGGATATAAAACATAATAGTAACGACTTTCTCACCGAAAACAAGGTCGACATTAATAAAACACTCTCCTATGCAAGGACGACTTATGAAATATCGCAAGAAAGCATCTATCACTTCCATAGCACACGCTATTAAATGAAAGGCTTTTGTGATGCATCATCGAGATATGCCACTTGAGGAAATAGAACGGCAGAACTTAATAACTGAATAGTTGGCTTGTTATTATCGATGATGAATTAATTGGGTATTATGTGGTCTCCAAAGGATGTATGGTAAGATTAATGTCCTAGGAATGCGATAGTGGACAGTTCCATAATTAAAGCCATTTGGCAACGCTGGCGAAACGAAATGGATCTGCCCAAGAGGTCATAGAGCGCGGCGCTGGAAATGGATCCGGAAACATAATACATAATACGTACCAAATAGTATCTTGCAAGTATCTCAGTATTCACGTAAAGGCATACTTTGTGATATTAGTCTATCGTATGTTAGCTGTTGACCTTAAATTCCGGTACTTTGCTGTTCACAGTATACGCATGCAATAATATTGATGATTTATGCCAAGAACTAGATGAAATGCCTGTTATGAAAAACATCGACAGATACCAATTTGCATCCATACAAGGTGGAGTAAACTCACGGAACACAAAAGGAAAAGTTGGTTCCTCATTCCAAGAGTCGTGTCTGAGGCTACATTACTGGTCACAAGTTTATACATTTGCTCTTTTGTGTTAATTCATCATCCTATAACAGAGATGCTCGTAATCCCAAATATTAGCACGACAAAAAATCAGGTACAGGATATTGTCAAAACGTAATGGCAGTCGATCTTTTTGGACGCTGGCCAAACAGATCGGAGGGAACTTTTCAAGGTTCATTCCTACGCTTATGTGTCAGGAGGGGACGATTGTAACCGACTCCAAGGCTAAGAGGGGAGTGCCTGATAAGATATTTGCTCTACATCAACAGAGCTTCTGGTCCTCACCTGATCCCTGATATTGTGCTTGCTCTAGTTTTTTTGCGTCTCATCCAGATTCGTTACTGATCTGGCACTTTCCCAGACAATTGAAAATTTGCTTATGTTGTACCTGACTCACAAAAAGAGTCTAAGACAAAACCTCACAACCATAGACCTATAGCTCTACTTTCCGTTGTTAGCAAGGTGATGGAAAAGTGCATAAATAGGGAGCTTCTAAAGTATCTCGAACATCACGGCTTCATTAGCGACAGGTAGTATGGTTTCCGCCACAAGCAATCAACGGGGGACCTTCTAGCTTACGTTGCACAACTGTGGAGTAAACTCATCCAGTGTCATGGTGAGACTCATTTCGTTGCTCTTGATATCTCGTATGCTTTCTATCCTGTGCCCCCCAGAGATAATTTGCAGATGGGTGGCTGACTTCCTCTCCGACCGCAACATATGGGGTAATAATTGACGGTTTCGTGCCACAAGATCAACGCAGGTGTTCCCCAGGGATCAGTCTCGGACGCAATATTGTTTCTATTATATACAGAGTGGCCGATATGTATCTAACAGGTTTGTATCTTGAATATTTGTGAAATGAAATAAAACCTGAGCTGATATTTTCCATCACTTTTTGATAGGTTTCGGGAAGCATATTTTCAATCGCTTCCGTAATATTGTTCTTCAGCTGCTCTACAGTATTTGGTTTGTTGGCATAAACCCAATTTTTCAAAAATCACCATAAGAGAATTCAGGAGCCGTTAAATCCGGTGACATTGGTCAGTTGACATCACCAAATCGAGCAATTAGACGTCCCGGAAATATTGTTCGCAAAAGATTCATTGTTTCCCTAGATGTGTGACAAGTTGCTTCGTCCTGCTGGAACCACATGTTTTGCAGGTTAAATTGTTAGATTTGAGCAGTCAGAAAGTTTTGCACCATATCACGGTAGCGCTCGTAAGTGACAGTAAGAGACTTACATGCAGCGTCTTCAAAGAAGTAAGGTCCAATGACACCTCCATACCAAACACCGCACCGAACTGTGACTCGACGAGGATGTACTAGTCGTTGATGGATGACACGAGTGTTCTCTAATGCCCAGATACGACAATTCTGCTTATTAACAAATCCATTCGTATTGAACTGTGCTTCATTGCATCCTATAGGAGACGAATACTAGCAGCGACTTCTTCTCTGACGAGGGACAAAGACATCACAGTTATCACGTGAGCTGAAACAAAAATTGATTCGTCTTTGAAAATTGATTCATACCGTCTATTATACCTATCAAAAATGCAATTTTGTCCTACTAGAAAGTACCTTACGGAACAAGAAAGCGACTAAAATGTCTGTCTGCCTGTATTGCCCATTAATGGACAATATCTTATGTCACCTATCATTAGATGGCATGATTACATCGCTAATATGCAAACAGATACCCACCTCAATTTGTCTAGAAAGGAACTTGCAACTTGTTACAATTCATCAACCTGTCCCAGCATAAGGATTAAATTAGTAACTACGTAAGCGGAGCTACATAAACTCAAATTACCCTCCATGTCTCCGGAAAAGATTCTCCGCAAGGTAAAACACCCTAGGAGTAAAGTTGTGCGGAGTCAGCGAGGAAGTTTTTGTTGTTTTTTATTTTGTGCATCACAAATCCGTCACGTCGCTTCTGCCTGTATGATAACGTGGCATACTTTGAGCTTGACAGTGCCGGAGCGTCAAATGACGAAGTTTCAACTTTTTTTCGAGAATTATATGAGAACTGAATAGAAAAAAGTAGAACCAACTAAGTTACCTCAGTACTCCACTCATATTAGTATCCATACGTACAACTCTGTTTCCATAAATTACTGTTAAGTAGATCGAATTTTGCAAACTTATTTACACTAAACTTGATCAATTGCGGCTCAGAAACATTTTAGCTACACATAAATTCTAAGCGTTGTTAGCGATATATGCAACCATAGTTTCAGAATTTCCGAAGATCTCATATTTCTACCATGACTCGAAATAACCAGTAAGTAGAAAAATGTTAAACAACAAATTTTCACATCCTTTAGGAGATAAATAATATCAAAAAAATATCACTTAAAATATTAAGTTTGTTAACGTCCTCATATATTACATGTTTACTAGTTCTTGCAGTTATCGGTGACAGCGTATTGTATCATTAACATAGAATCAGTATCTTTATGTAAAAACTGTATTATAATCCGGGCTATAGGAATAGAAGACCTAGTAGCTTCTTTGCTGAGGCCATTATTAACGCCCTTCTTACATACAGTTCCTGTTTGACTCATAGCATAATCAAGCCCTTGAACGATCAACAATGAGCAGGTCATCGCAGCTATCAAACAGACTCTGGCCTTGTACCGCTGTCTTTCGCTTCTTCTGGCTGAAGCAAGCGCGTCGACAGTTCGGGTTATATTGGTGCTCTTGCTGCTAAAGCCTGTGCTTCTCTGCGAGCGCGTAAAATCACATGTCTAACAAATACTAGTCAGATTGACTGTACTGGCCGTATACAGTGGTATTACCAATTTTCGGGAAGGTCGATTTTTAAATTGTGAAGTAACATTTTAATGTAAGTTTAATACTCCTTTAAACGTTTCAACCAATATGATACTGAAAGAATATGGAAGGATATCAAGTTTCTCATGAGAACGCATGTAGATGCTATAGAGACTGGAAGTAGAGTGGTATGTGCGAGAAATATATAGTAATGATTTACTAATTATACATTTTTTTCAGGTAAGATACAACTCGGCCCAGTATGCTGAATCATAGTTGGTAAGTGCTATTCAGGAGACACTTATACTGTTGCGATTTTTACCTCATATACCTCTTTTGTTGTATGGTATTGGTAGTAACATAATGTACATCACATGAAATATTGGAACCGTAAATTACGCACCGTTACTTATTTGTCCTGTTGCACAATTCAGATATTCAATAGTAGATTTTGATCGAGCCATCTCCTATCGAGGCTATATCCACTAGGGATATTCTCCCAAATAGATATCAGTAAAAAACTTCATAAAACTTAAGTCTAAATTAACATAACAGTCACCCAGAATATCCATGCTCAAGATAATGGCACAGGTACTAAATTATGATAGAAACTGTCAATCAACTCATGGCCACCAATTTCTGCACACATGGGAACATATTTTTATAAGATTTGTGAGAATCCCATAATTGGAATATGGGGATAAGTCACTTATTTGGAAAGGATTGGTGAAGAAAATACGAATAACCTTATACAATTTGTATCGATTCGTTCTTTTACGATGCTGTCTCGGATTGCAATATTAACCTTCTAGGACCTGTAAAATGAAACTGTCAGTATTTCCTCCCTAACTTTGCTATGGAAGTAGAGGAATTCCTCCAGTCTTTCCTCCAGGAATTTTACAGGTAATGGAAACACGTTGAAGGTCGATTTGAGCGGTTTTTGCTACAAATTATGTTCGGTTAAAAAATCGTATAATTATTTTTTCAATATCTACTAACAATAATAAGCCGATTTTACTCTAAACGGACCATCTACTACCCCTCATTCTCCCCCCCAGTCCTGAATATGCGGTTCTCTGGTAACGCTTTCTTGGTGAAATTTATCGCTTTTAAACTTATATTTATTGCCTAAATAAAATAGCACGCCAACCCCATACTAAGTGCCAATTCACTTAATTATAACTTTATGCCTTTCTAGACCCCCCTATCCTCCCCCTTTAGGAGTGAAGATTGTGGTTTGCTGTTTATTCGTATGCGAGTAATATTTGCAGAGATCTTGCTTATCAGAGTATCCTAGGGTTTTTGTGTCGCTGGTTTCGGTTTGGAGGTCCGATAATTTATTGTTTTTCCGGATATTCTTATCCTTCCATTCAATTTGCCTTGAATGTGATACAAGCTATCGGTCTTTGGTATCGAAACAGCGACTCCAAAAGTTGCTACGTTGGAGCAAAAATCGCCCTTTGTCACTTTAATACTAATGTGTTCCTGCCAAATTGATAGCTATTGTCATTCATCCTTATCGGGACGGAACAACGAATTTGCGTGCCAGGAAATTATGGGATGATTTGACAGGAATGAATGCTCGTGTGTGGGCTGCAATAGTCACTCTACTTGTGGCATCAGAGATGCTAATATGCTACTACCCCAATAATCGAGGATAAATTTTTCGGCACGCCTTGCAGAAACGAAACTAGACTGCATCTGGACCCATTCGGTTTCCATACTGACAGCAGAAACTATTGACTTATCCAACCTGGATTAGAATATTTCAGTTCCTCCAAACTTTATCGTAGCCTTTTGATGTCCTTCAAGCTTCTTATGATCGGTTTCTTGATCATTTCCACAATTTTATTTATCGTGCAATTAGAAGAACACATAATAAATACAAATATCGAGTTTCTCAAAAGATTAAATTCTACACGGGTTATCTGGGAAACAAAACGATCGATTTGATTTGAATTTAACAAAAACGTATGTCAATGTAATACGTCGGATAAACAGTTGCTATCAAAAAAGTATTAACCCTACTGGCTATTTTTGAACAGATCAAGAAAGCTGAAATTAGAGGAAATAAAATTGATACATAAATACTATATTCCAGGAAAAAGTGGCAGGTGAAAATTTAAATTGACGACTGGACGCCATTTTGAAACAGTTTTTTAAACGGAATGAGGAGTCGTGTAGTACTTTGTTCTGAAGCTCATTACGTGTATTATTATTTATATTATGTATATTTTATGAAGTTGAGCGATTTTGTCCATTGGGGCGCTCATAACTCAACGATCAATCGTCAAAATCCTAACGTAAGCTATATCTTTCTACTTGGAAGGGTCAATGTTTTTACAAGAAATTATTCTCCTGGCTCAACCTGCGGACCTTCCTCATCTCTGCAGAGCCCTCCTGTGTTCTGGGTCTCCTGTTTGTTGGACTAATCTTCTCGCTCTATTCCTATCGTTGATCTTCTGGTTTACCTCTGGATGTAGGTCTCTGAACCTGCTGGGCTGCGTGATATCTTCTACTGTGGTAGTAGTATCTAATACGTCCCGAATCCTTTCTAGACCCTAAGCTCGCTCCTCTTTGACTTCAGGAGTCTCTATCTGAGGTAGTGGGCCAAGTGAGTAGTGTATGGTTTGCTGAAACCGGTCTCAGTCCACTCTCCTGGATATCCTCTTTTCCACGTTTGATGCTCCCTCTCCTATTTCTAGGTATATGACATTATGGTCTGAGCTCCCTTCTTGCAGGACTCCAATGTGGCAAGACATGTATATCTTCTTCAAGACATGACATGTGGCCTTGTACCGTTGTCTGGGTACAGGGTGGATTTGTTAGGTCCCAGTATGACATATCCCGGTTCATACATCAGCCTCTCGAAGATTTCACCATGTCTGTTGCTCCTGCGCGAGCCCCAGATGCCTGATTTGGCGTTGAGATCACTTATAATCACGGTACTTTCCCCCAATTGGGTAATTTGGGTGAGGCCTTCTAGGTGCAGGATAGCCTCTGGTGGTGTATGTGCTGAGACGATATTCAGCGTGTCGAAGTCCGCCGTATGCACAGCTATTCCTTCTGTTCCTGTCGTCCTCAGGTCGGAAATGCCTAGCATCTTATGGCTGATGCTGCTCCTTACGGAGATCAATTCTCCTCCACCTCTACTATCTCGGTACTTCCTGTACTCTGTGAATGCCCACTGGGGGATTCCGCTTGAGAGCATCGTCTCCTGTAGTGCCATCGCATCATAGCTGCTTCTGGTTAGGAGTTCTCCTATCTCGTACTTTTTGTTGGCGACACTATATGCGTTCCAACTCAGTATCCTAAGGGCGCTAGATGTGGGCAGACTATCCATTTAATTGATCTTACTTTTGTTGACGCTTACCATGAATGCCTCCTTAGCCTTAAGAGCATCCATGATAAGGTCTTTCATTTGAACCATGTTTGCTTCGATGAAACGTTTCAGTTCATACATCTCTTCTTCTTCATATTCCATTCTCGAGGGACTCTCGTGCCTCTTGGGTGCTTCCTATTCGCTTCTTGTATCCCTCGCACAGCCCTGACCTGGTCTCACTGGAGCAGGCTTCGTTATCTTCTACTTGGTTGCGGTTGGCTTGCGCGTGGGTTTTGAGCTGCGCCGTCTTGGGCCGGTTTCTTGGGAGCTGGCTTCTCCAGCTTCTCCTCGTTACCTTCGGTCTTCTCCTTTTTGGGATCCTTTACTTTGATCCCTTGTCTGGCTGCCATTAGCTCGAGCGAGTGGGCAACCCTCCCGCACTCCCACTTTCGTCGCGCGCGTGTCACGTATGGTCTCGGTTGCTCCTCACACAATGTCGACTGAATCCGTGAAAAACGATTAACTTTCAGACAGCTATTTTGAGATAGAGAAAGAGCGAGATTTTATATTCCAGGTTTATAAAGAACTCATTAAGAGCTTACTACACGTACCGTCACTCCATCTAACAAAATGTTTCGTTCGTTAACCTGACCTGAGCAAGAAGCAAATAGAGGGAGGGGCCATCTGAAAAGCACTATGTAAAAATGTCAGACGTTTGTATAAATTGTCTCCAAACATCTTGAAATTGTCCATTTTCGAACAAAGGTGCCCCCTTGAAATCTCATGATTTGCAAAAGCAGTTTATTAATTATACTAATAATTTGAAGTATTCTCATAATACATAAATAACCAATTGAGTACATCCGTGCATTTCTAGTGGTTGGTTATCTACTTGAGAAAGATTTTTTCCACTCTTCTGTCATTTCCAAATGTTGCTACTGACAAGGCAAGTGAGACTTTACTTGTATTTTGAAGCGGCCTCATGAGGAGCAACTATGTATACGGCTCTGAAATTTTCTTGAGACTATCCATACAAAACGAGTTCAAACGCCTCTCTTATGATAGCCTGGTCCACGAAGCTTCGTCGCTTCTATGATGACGGGGCATACATCAACATTAGTTATGGAGTTTTGACTTTCTGGTGCATGCAGAAGCGTTTCCTCATTCCAGTTTCCAGCGAGTTTAATGCTTCATGATACAGTTTATGCTATTCTATTCCTTGGAAGTCTATATGTGTGCGATCATGCGGGAAAATGGAATATCGATGTATCTACAAGAATATACATCTATTCCATGAACGGTATCGACGAAATTTACCTTGCTGATGTTGGTTTTGTTCTGGAAATAGCGCTGCTTGTAATACAGGAGAAAATTTTACTTAAACGATGCTTCAGCATAGGGTGTTTCCAAATAATGGAGCCAACATAGCGTAATTCTTTGAATAGTTTTCTTTAATACAATGTTCGAGAAATTGATTTGTTTCTAAAACACAAAACAAATCAAATTTTCAAAAATATATCACATGTGAATCATCTCAGTCTACAAACTAGGTAGAGTGAAAAGCTTTATTCTTCTATTGCTGGTCCGCCGAATTCATTCACAAATTCAAATACACAAAGACCTTTTTTAAAGAGCTGTGTAAGCCAATGATTCTTGGTGGACTCGTGGGAAATAACGTAGAAAAGTTTTGGACCTCCAGCAGGTCATAAGTCAGGTCTTTCACGATCCATATATTTCTGTTAAAAACTCATGAGCAGTCATACTCAAGTTACTGGGTGCATGTCTCATTAAAAAATGACCTTGGTTATTTGAAACGGTTTAGAAATCTATGTCGAAGGGATTACAGTTTCGCATTCTAGCTAGAAGTGCCGAATATTCGGTCAGTTCTTGAAGACCAAGTAGCTTCAAATATAATTTTCAATTATGAAATAATTGTTGTGTCGCGAAATTTTATTCG